CGTCTTTGCCTGGAAAGGTGAGACCCTCGCCGAGTACTGGTGGTGCACCGAGCGCTGCCTCGACTGGGGCCCCACAGGCGGCCCCGACCTCATCGTAGACGACGGCGGTGACGCCACTCTCCTCATCCACGAGGGCGTCAAGGCTGAGGAGGAGTTCGAGAAGACGGGCAAACTACCCGATCCGGCATCCACGGACAACGCCGAGTTCCAGATCGTGCTCGGGATCATCCGCGACGGGCTCAAGGTCGACCCCAAGAAGTACCGCCGGATGAAGGATCGGCTTGTCGGTGTGTCAGAGGAGACCACCACCGGCGTCAAGCGACTCTACCAAATGCAGGCGAGTGGCGCCCTGCTGTTCCCCGCCATCAACGTCAACGACTCCGTCACCAAGAGCAAGGTGATTTTTCGTTTGATCTTCTAATTTGGGCTTTCTACTCTTTCTGGACTTCTGGGTCCGGATCTGTGCATTCTCGAGCCCCAGATCCAGATCCAGATCCAGATCCAGGATGATGTTTTAACAGGTTTACAATAGTTTAATTCCAGATCTCAGTTTTCTTGTTTCGATGTTTATAGACTGTTTATGTGTGATATTTTGGATTTTGACTGCTATAATTTGGTATCAAGATGTCACCTTTCTGTTTGTTTCTTTGTTTTGGAATGGAGGGTTTGAATGCTTGGATCTGATTGGGGAGCGTCCAATAGGTTATGCTACAAAATTTGGTATTTATTGTCCTTTTGGATCTGGATCTGGTCCACTTTTACTGTTTCAGTATTTATTATTTACTGCGAGATAATTTACTGTTGGTGGATTGTGAGATTCGGAAACACTCAATAGCTAATAGATCACTAATGTCTGGTCAATTCTAGGCAAACTGTGTTCATCTTTCATCCAACTTTATCTGTGATCTAATAGATATTTCTGTCCAAAAATGTTATCTTGCTTTTAATTGACTAGAAGTGCTGCAAATTTTTTTGTCATTGGTCCTCATTGTCCAAGACAGATCTAGTTTCGAGCTCTCAGATCTGAGGATTTTGCATATGATTGTTCTTATGCGTTTCTTGGTCTGCCTTGAACAGTTTGACAATCTGTATGGGTGCCGCCACTCTCTCCCTGATGGGCTTATGCGTGCTACTGATGTCATGATTGCTGGCAAGGTCGCTGTGGTGTGTGGCTATGGTGATGTGGGCAAGGGCTGTGCTGCTGCCCTGAAGCAAGCTGGTGCTCGGGTCATTGTAACCGAGATTGACCCCATCTGTGCTCTTCAGGCACTGATGGAAGGCCTCCCTGTCCTCACTCTAGAGGATGTTGTTTCTGAGGCTGATATATTTGTGACGACCACCGGGAACAAGGACATTATCATGGTTGATCACATGAAGAAGATGAAGAACAACGCCATTGTCTGCAACATTGGCCACTTCGACAATGAGATTGATATGCAGGGGCTGGAGACCTACCCGGGCATCAAGCGCATCACCATCAAGCCCCAGACTGATCGCTGGGTTTTCCCAGAGACTAGCACTGGCATCATAGTTCTCGCCGAGGGGCGTCTTATGAACCTTGGTTGTGCCACTGGGCATCCCAGCTTTGTCATGTCCTGCTCCTTCACCAACCAGGTATGTATGCTCCTTGACACTAAATTGTTCTTGCCGATCCATTTTTTATACAGTCCTCTATAGGTTGTATGCTTGCTAAGCCTTGATACATTTGATCTATATTAATCATGGGGGATTGTAGAAGCATGAAAGGTTTGTGCATAGAGATTGCATAGATGCCATTTAGATTGTCATACTCCAATATTGGTACTATTTCCAACTATAGTGGTTATTAAAAGAAGTTAGTTCTTTCTTGTGCGGTTTCTTATTTTTGTTTCACTCGTACTTCATTCAAGTATAGAAAGCTAAAATGTATCGGAACCCTTTGGGTTCTCAAGGTATAAAGCCCATCTCTCCTGTTAGGTTGTCATGTAGTTGCAGTGTCATCAACGTCATGCCAATCAGTGGCCTTGGCCATGGACCTCATCGGAACATGGATTATCATACTCCAATATTGGTACTATTTCCAACTATAGTGGTTGTTAAAAGAAGTTAGTTCTTTCTTGTGCGGTTTCTTATTTTTGTTTCACTCGTACTTCATTCAAGTATAGAAAGCTAAAATGTATCGGAACCCTTTGGGTTCTCAAGGTATAAGGCCCATCCAAGTCTCCCGTTAGGTTGTCATGTAGTCTCAGTGTCATCGACGTCAGTGGCTTTGGCCATGGATCTCATCGGAACATGGATCAAAATCAATTTCATATAGTTGATTAACACCAAGGGGTCATGCTTTCTTCTGATGCATCCATTAAAACCAAAATCCAAACAGGTGATAGCACAGCTGGAGTTGTGGAAGGAGAGGAAAACCGGGAAGTACGAGAAGAAAGTATACGTTCTACCCAAGCATTTGGATGAGAAAGTCGCAGCCCTTCACCTCGGCAAGCTGGGAGCCAAGCTCACCAAGCTCACTCCGTCGCAAGCCGAGTACATTAGCGTCCCAGTCGAGGGCCCCTACAAGCCTGTTCACTACAGGTATTAGGATGGCGCTTATCCAAGAGATTATGGCAAAGCAGTGGCAGTATCAATGGTCGTGTTTATTTTGCTTGGTTATCTTCCTTCTTCCTCGTATTGCTGTTTTCCCCGAGGATGTGTTTGATCCGAATGTTGTTGAAGGCATGCTTAGGAATAATTAGGGTAGGAAAGATGTAATGGCCATATGAGTTCTCATCTTTGGCTCTTTTCCATTATTAATTGCATGGATATGTTTATATCCCATGTTTCGGTCGTAGACTTGTTGAGATCTTTAGTTGTTATGGAATCCAACCCTTTTGTCGATTGCAAAATGTATTCTGCCACAATAAAAGACTACAATAAGAATAAGAAATATGATTGGTATTTGTTATTGATTTGATTGAATATGATTGGATGTGACTTGCTTTTAGATGATTCATCGAGTCCATCAATCGGACTGGGGTGCGTAATTAGAAGCAAGCTCAAATCCAATTAAAGATCACCCAGCAAGACTTCAACCCCTTCGTCAATGTTTGCTATGCCCGAGGTGATGGTATCATTATTTACAAATCTTTATTTCATAATTGGCAAGCTTGTCCGAGAATGTAATTAATCCAATTACTTACGAAGATCATCTAATCTAATATCTTAAGATTTTAGATTTATAAATATGAAAAGTAAGAAAGAATTAAAGGTTGAAAATCTCATCTCGTATAGATGTATATTTTTATATCTTAAATATTAATTTTTTGATAATAATAATAATATACTTATTAAGAATTAAGGACTTCTAATTTTATTTTAAAAAAATTATTTACATTAAATCTTAGATGAAATATTAGTTTGATAGTACCATATTAGATCCACTTATATTAAAGTTGAAAGATTCAAAATCCCATCCGACTTATTGTTCTCTTAGGGTTCAAATCTGAGAGGTTTTTGGCACGAGTAGGAAAGTGGAGTTCCATTGCAATATGAAGAATCCAAGCCATCAATGGAGCGTACTGACAGGTGAACTCTGAGGTCGACGACACCCGTAAATAGGAGTACAACCCCTGCTCGGACGATTAGGGGAGCGAGGCTTTATGCAATTCGTCGTGTACGGCTTGCCGACGCCACTGCAGGACACCTTATCCGCGTTTAAGGCCGGGTACGTGATCGTGTTCTTTGTCTGGAGGAACCGCCGGTGGATCTCCGAGTCCATCAGGAGCTCCGTCGTCGCCGCATGGCACTCCGCTATCGTCCCGTTGCATCCGGCGACCACCGTCGGCTGGAACTCGACGCCGTGGATGAGGTGCGGCGAGCTGCTCGCAACGAGGAAGAGAAGAGATGGAAGGAGGATGAGGAGGCTTAGCTCGTGCTTCATGATTTCCTTTGCAGCTCTCACTCTTTAAGAGTAATGCATATATATAGAAGCTGGGAATTGGGGACCGAGGGGTGTCGTTGGGTGACGGAGTTGGGACTCGACATGCATTATTGGTGGTGGTGGGGTTGAGTGAGAGCGGAGAGAGGACCAGCTTGTGAGAGACTGCAGCCGCATACCGATGATAAGGTTGTGAGGCTCCATTGTTGATGCATAGGAATCACCGTAGACGAGTCGTCCTCCCCGCCGGTGGAGCGGGGCACCACCGTCCCTCTCGAAAGAAAGAACCAAATTATGGGACCATTGCATAATGGTACTCGTTTCCGAACTGTACCACCATAAGATGGTTCTCATCGTTGTAGGATCAAAAGATGATCAAATTATCGTGGAGAGTTTGTATGATTGCCACTTGCAACTCTCATTTTACTATTTACAATATAATTTTATTTTTTTATAAATGAATATAAATATTTTCTTTCTTATTCCTCACGACGAGCGAAGTTAGTAAAAGAACTCAGGACGTGTGATCGAAGTTACATCAGAATAAAAATTTGAACCCACGGAATAATTGATCAAAATATATAATATAGAAAAAAAATATTATTAAAAAAATACAATAATAAAAGAACTTAAATGTTCTTAGGATAAAATTAAATATCTTTAATAAAAAAAATATATAGATGTGCTAACTAAAATCAGCAAAAGCAAAACGCATATGGCTTGCAAAACTGAAAATTCATCCCCAAAACTTCTAAAATACTGGAAGCTAATTCAATTGCATCACAGTCAAATGTTTGACGTTTGATTCTTGATCTGATTGATGGAATATGTCAAACTCCTAACCTGTAGGTGTCATGCCATGTTGTCAAATCTATATGACCGAAATTTTTTTACCTTAAAACAAAATAAAACACAAAACAACTGTAAACAATTTTCATGTACTTTAAAGTTTAAACAGCCAATAAGCTCATATCAAATTTTTATGCCAATGCTAGCTGAGGTTGACAAGCTAAACTAATTTTATCTTAATCATCAAACCACTAACATCGACAACAACAATATGAAAAGGTTTTTGATGATAGAAAATTTATCACAGGAGTCTAATACAGTGTTTGAACTCATCTCTATTTCACAATGTCAAATTTTCGATAAGAGAACATCTCTCCAATTCAAAAATAAAGCTTGAAATAAAGTGCATAACTATATCGTTTTGAAACTCACGGTGGAATCAGAGAAATAAGTGGTTTCCTCAAGCGGCAGCACCCTTGCCCTTCTTCCGCTGAAGCTTCTTTGTGTAGAACTCGAGCTCCTTTCCTTCCAAAATGTACCTGTATCATCACACATCATATTATTATTGTATAATATTATTGGACCTGTAAGTCAAACAGCAAAAATGAGCACCAAATAATGGTAAGTTGGTTGCTGGCGAAAAGAATTCCACAGGATTCTGCTTACCCATCAGATCTCCCACATTGACCGGGACGAGAAGATATACAAGCCAACAACCTTCCAGCACCAAATTGATCCTCAATGTGAGGATCAAGTATCCGCCCCTGCTGCCGCTTCTCCAGCTTCCTGGTTACGTGGTTGCTCTTCTTTTCTTCCTCTGCAGCAGCTTCACCCTCCTGCCCATCCGAGGACAATGGCAATCAGAATAAGAGGGGAGGCATTAATCAATTTCAGCAAAATTTTAAGCATAGTCTGGGATTAAAATCTAAACATGTTTCATGTACATTGTCACATCATGTTTCTGGCATGTCTCATAAATTAGATCTAGGAGTAGGCCTAAGGATAATATTAACACTTGCTCACACAAAAGCAGAAAATTTTAATTTCAATTTGTTGCTTGATCCATGGCAAGACATAATACCACTCAAAGTGTCAATTCTTTCAGAAGAATGCCATGGGACTAGAACAAATGCCAACAATTGGGTTGACAAGGAAAAAAATATCGTTCTGTATCGATGAAAAGAATTCCACAAAAAGCCCAACATCAGCAGCCAGCTGAATGAAACGAGAATTACATGTGCTATGGTATTACAAGTTGATTCCATTCAAAACATAATGAACAACATCCAAGATAATTAAAACAAATGGTTAGGAAGTTTCCCATAAGAAAGTTACAAAAATAAAAAAAAAATCCTTTGATATTCTAGATATTGAGAATGTTCTAAATTCCTAAAATTTGCAACCATAACAAAAAAAAAAACAGATATTCAAACTGAAACATACAATTAGGGATCTCAGAGCACCTTGCCTGAATAAACTCTCTGCCAACAAATGTTGACAACCCAAACTAAATCAGCATTGTTTACAATAAAAAATCAGCATTGTTTACAATAAAACTAAATCACAATTTTAGAGAATCATTGATAGACATTGGCGACATCACCCAGATTGTTTGTGATGGACAAAGAAAATAACCCTTTAGAACATAAAAGGAGTTTTCAGATATCTCAAAAAGATAAACTAGATAAACCCCACAAAAATTTCAAACATAGACAATAATCACAATTAGCACCAAAAAAGTTTTTTGATTTAAGGGTAAGCAAATATACCAAGACCATCGTTGATTCTAACAAGAAATACATGAAAGAATAATGAAAGCTACCTCCATTGCGTCTTTCTTGGAAGCTGTTGGGGCCTTCTTCTTCCTTCCAATCTCAACCCCGTAATGCTGGAGGTACCACTGCCTGAAGGGGGCAGCATCAACCTGCACGATGGCACTCTTCACGAGGGTCTGTGTCCTCACAAGTTCGTTGTTCGAAGCGTTATAGACCACATCAAGGATACGGGTCTTGCGCGTCACAGCCTCACTTCCCCACGAGTAATTCCCACTGTCCAACCGAAGGGCCCTCCACTTCACATTGCCCCCACGGACTCGGACCCTCCTCACCGTTTTGTTGCTCGAAAGTTTTGTGTTTGCCGGTTGCCTCCCCAACTCATACCTATTAAAAAATGAAATCTTTAGAAGGATCTAACTTTAGGTTTAACGGATAGCACAATTATGGTTATCTAATGCGATCGACACTCGATCTACAACAAGTAAACGATTCAAGAAGCAAAGGAAACGCAGAAAATCAACTAGAAAGGGAGAAGAAGGAAGAAAAAGATTAAAGATTGATACAAATTCATTAAATTTGTACCTCGGAACCCAATCTTTTCACTAGAGATCGAAAAAATGGTCAAAAGCGCAGCGAGATACAAGTCATAATCGGATACGCATCCAATGATTAAGAGAAAGAAATACGATTCTAATGTGCGAAACAACCGAAGCAATGTAGGGTTCAAATGATAGACCAAAACCATCGTTTTAGAGAAGGCACCAAAGCAAGGGAATTCAGGAAGCGGGAGAAGAAGAAGGGTCTCACTTTCTCTTCTTCCTCCAGGCCTTCTTCTTGCCTCCGGTGGCGCGCCTCTTATGCATGGAGTCCCGTGAGATACCTGCGGCAACAAAAATAATAGGAAGAACGCCATGGACGTGAGCGAGGGGCAGAATGCAAGACCAAGCAATCTTTAGAGCTCCAGCTCTAGGGTTTATGATCTGTACCCATTTTGGCAGAGCGGTGGCGACACTTGGGGTCTCTAGGATTTCGCCGTCGCAAGCTTCTTCTCTCTTATATGCCCTCCGAAACCCTAACGTCTTTGCTCCGAAGCAACCAGTGCACGTGCCAAACACGTGATGAACGGGAATAAAACCCTAGCCCGCGTCGAAGCCCACGAATCGAGCCCAAATATGGACTCGGTTCGGTCAGACACGATTCCCGCGTTGAAACCGAGTCGAAGCCGAGTTTGAAGCGAGTCAAATAGCGACACAAACATAACCAGCTTTCCGGAAAATGATATATAGTCTCAAATAAATCTTATCGTCAGATATTGAATTACACATAATGATTGCATCATGGTATTAATTAGTCTGTGAGTAATGATCTTGATGATGCCAACATAGAGAACGGAGTTACGAATCAAACTTGACTTCTATGACCAAAATGGAAGAATTCATTTTAAAGAATCGGTGAAGAGGAAATACAGAATGGATTTGGTAGTGAAATTTGGTGATATCAATGTGCAAGTCGTTTGCGGCAAAATATGGTTGAAAGACTTTAATATATGGCTTTGTTCATGTTAAAAGGGGTTGTTGGGGATCATCAAGAAGGGATTGATTCAAGAAACAGAAGTGGATGGTGAGACTGTGATTCAAGTAGGATACATTATCTATATATATATATATATATATATATATATATATAATAATAATAATAA